CAATGATGTTAAATGTTCTGAAAGTTTGTGGTGGTGGAATCAGGAAGTGTAATAGTTTCTCCGAAAAGAATTAATAAATAAACAAAAAAATTATTATATTATTAAAAAAATGATTTGTCCGAAACAAAAATAAATATCGATAAATGACATAGATATAAACTTGTTTTAAAAATTATATTTGAAATAAAAATGTTTTTCTTAACAATACTATTAATCACTTTGTACAATTTGTTGGTCTTAATAATAATGAACTATACACTTGAATTATAAAGACTTTAGTCTATGTCTTAAGTATATTTGTGAAAAAAATTTGATATATTACAAGAACAACATTAAAAATATTTTTAATACAATAGTCTTAGTAATTTAAGTAAAACAAAAGAAAACTACTTAAAATGTTATTTATTACTAAAATGTTGTTTATAGTTTTTCAAAAATGCTTAATCACACATTCACAGAAAAAAAGTCTTTACGAGTACATACATATTTGATTCAAAAGCAAAAGACTAATAAACAAACTTACAGCAAAATCAGACATTAAACTTGTTAAATAAAGGTAATTAAAAAAAACAACGTTTTTTTAAACATTAATTAATGTTTTATATTAAAAAAAGCTATTTCGATGTATGATAGCATTAGTGTTCCCCTTTCTAGTTTTCTTTCGGTCAATTTAATTTTTAAATCATCTTCTAAAAGGCTGTTCAAGATTGTGTCTAGACTATCGATTGTTTTTTGTACAATTTTAAAAAGTTCTGGCTTACTACTTTTCTCAACCTCTAAAAAATTATCCATAATTAGTTCAACAGCACTAGGGTATACTTTTTCGGTATAAGGAATAAAAAAAAAATCATATAACTTTTGACCTCCAGTAACCATATCACACATTAAGTCTTTAAAATATTTGGGAAAAAAAATTATTCTTCCAAAAAAAACGGTAAAAGCATCAAATAAATATTTTTCTAATACATTTTTCGGTATTTTAAAAATACAATAATAAGCTTTAGCCATAAACACGAATTCTTCTTTAGTAAATTTAATTTCCTTATGTATTTTTTTGTATGCTTCAAATGCAATATCAGTATCAAATTTATCTAATACAGTATCTTTTAGAGATATCTTAGTTGATGAATCTGAATGTGATCCAAAGATGCTAGTGTATTTGCAAAATATACATATAAAAAATGTTGTTGATACTAAGCATATTAATAAAATATAGCAACACTTTCTCGATAACATTAATGGGTAAAATAATATTTTGAATTTATTGAAAAAAAGGAGAAGATAAGATTAGCTATTTTGTAAATCCAAACCTTGCATTTTTAAAATCTTTTAGTCTCAGATTACAAAGTTTTGTTATGGATAACCATAATATATTTTCTTGTATTAACTGGTGACGTTAGATACTATGTTACAAATATGAAACTGATTAAACATGAATCTTGAAAAGCAATTGGCTCGTGTCTATTTGTTTTAGATTTATCTAAAATAAAAGCTATAAATAGATAAAAAATTATCTAAAAAATAGAATTTAATAAAGGTTAAATAAAAAGTCTTTTTGTTTTGGTAGTTTGGTCGAGTACTACCAAATAATAATTCACTGCCAGCCATTTCCTGTAAGTTTTTTAAATAAAATTAAATTTGCGATTTATTTTTGAAAAAATATACAAAATAAATTTGAAAAAGACAAAGAAACAAAATAAAATCTTATAATTACTAAGCCGCATATGCGATCACATTTATATTATATTCACAAGATTTGTTCTTTTATGCTGTTACATTTATGTTTTATTATTTACGGGAAAATTTTGATTTTTAAGCGCTAGAGAATCCTAACGATGTTAATTATTGAAAATTTGTATAAATAAATCAAGTTATTGTAATAAATTTATAAATAATTTTTAATTCCTTTGGTATAATAAATTTTCAACTAATTAAATGTGAGTTGCTTAATATACCTTTTTTAATAAAACAAAGCATATAAAAAGGTAAATCTAAAAAACAATATCAAAAAATTTAGAAAGATTGTGTAAAACTAAATAAAACAATGATTAGTCTAGTATTGATATGACCTAGATTCAAATACATAAAGCTGCGTCGGAAATAGGTTATGTGGGAGATTTATCGTTATAAAAAATAATAATAATTTATTTTTTTATTGTTTAATTCTTATTGAAAAAGCGCAAGTTCATCAAATTTATATAAACACACACAATTTTTTTAGATTGATTATACATCATGGTTATTTATTTCTTTAATATTCAATTAATCTTTTTTATATTCTTGCCATATTTTTTTATAATGCTTAATTCTTCCTTTAGGAAATTTTACTTTCCTCTACACGGCGCATTATTAGCGCTAGCATGCCACAAGGGCCTCGCTTAGTAACAAGATAGTATTAATCCCTGTAAGGATCTTACAGAGAGCCGACAACTGGTAGTACGCTACCAGACCAGAGCTTCGCTGGATCTTGTGGTCGGAAAGGCGGTATGGGCCTAATGACCGTGATGGACTCTCACTATCCCATGTAAAATGCTAGAGCTTCATTAAATTGCTACTCCCTTCCCAGGCGGGTCTTCAGATATAAGTTCTTACTAAAAGTCTTCGAATACGACTTGTAAATGCTTTCAGGGCTACGGCAATTGTCGTGCCGACCCAAAGATGTTATGCCTCTACATCTTTATGAATATTTACAACCCTTGATCGACGCCTACAGAAAAGCTTACGATACGACTTTACCGACAAATATTTTATGACAATTGTTGTGCCAACGCTTGTTTATTACTTAGCGAATTCGCATTGGTGAAATTTTAACCTATACCTTTTGAGCAGATTTATCATCATCAATATATATAAAAAGTTTGAATCTGAATATTTTTTTATTTTTTAACCCTTCTTTTTTAAAACTTTGTAAAATTCTTATTATTTTTTATTCCTTTAAAGCATTAAAATACAACCTAAAGAATTGTATATAATTGTTACTAAATGGATATTATGGGGGTTTGTGTATTTTCTTAGGTTTTTCAATTTTTTTGTAATTGCAAAATGGTTTCTTAGGCAAATTTTACTTTACAATGTAAGACATTTTTACTTTAAACAATGCGCACAAGCCTAAAGACATGTTACACAATTTAAAACAAGAATATTATTTATTTATAATCCCGTTTTAAACGGGAGTGCGTTGGCTAGTCAATATATATAAAAAGTTTGAATTTGAACATTTTTTTATTTTTTAACCCTTCTTTTTTTAAAATTGTGAAATTCTGTTTTAATTTTTCATTTAAAAGCACCAAAATACAACTTAGAGATTTGTATATAATTGTTACTAAAAGGATATTACGAGGTTTTGTGTATTCTCCGTAGAGTTTTTCAATTTTTTTGTAATTGTAAAATGTTGACTTTTGCAAATTTAACTTTACAATGTAAGACATTTTGTACTTTAAACAATGCGCACAAGCCCAAAGACATGTTTTACAATAAAAATAAGAATATTATTTATTTATAATCCCGTTTCAAACGGGATGGCGTTAGCTAGTCAATATATATAAAAAGTTTGAATCTGAATATTTATTTATTTTTTAACCCTTCTTTTTTAAAATTTTGGAAAACGTTTTTTTAAATAAATGACAATCTCCATAGTTGATTATATTATAAAGAGCTTAACTTTCTAAAATATTTTCTTAAGTTTTATTCAAATTGTAAAATATGCTCTATTGTCATTTTATAATTAAAGTGTGCAATGTTTAGAAATAACAATACATACATGCACAAAGACATATACACATAATTTAAACAAAAAAAGCACGTATCGAATTTGAGTCCCGTTTTAAACGGGATAGCGTAAGCTAGTCAATATATATAAAAAGTTTGAATCTAAATATTTATTTATTTTTTAACCCTTCTTTATTATAAAATGTATCATTCTTTTAATTTTTTAAGCACGAGTAGCATAAGTGTGGGTTTGTTTTTTCTAAGCACAGAACAGTGTTTTTGTCCATTTTCCCTTGATTTTACTTAGTTGTATTAATCTTATACAAGGTGTCTATATCAAATTTTAATAAATATAAAATGGACTAATTTGTTATAAAAATAATAAAATAGGTACATACACAAAGGCACATTATATTCATTAAAAAGAAATAACACACATTGTATTTGTGATTCCGTTTTAAACGAGATAGCATAAGCTAGTCGTTATATAAAATTTTAACTTTAATTTTTGGTTATAAACACATACATTATTGTTATCTATAAAATATTTAAAGAAGTAATTACTTATTTTACAAATTAAATTTTTAAATACACAATTAGAATTAGAGAAGATTAGAAAATACTATCAAGTTGCAAACAAATTAATTCTACTAAATGAATGTAAACCAAAATAGTATTTATTAATTACAATAAACGACATTGTAAACAATTTACTGTTATTAATAAAAGTTTTAATTAATGTGTCAATTTAATACAGCATTTAGTTTAAAATTATTTTAAAACTTATAAAAAATTATAAATAATGTATAATGAACAGAACTAAAAATCTATTAAGCCACACAAGCAAATTTACTTTTGCCCAGAACCAATACTTGAATGTACAGAAAAGATAGCATTTGACAAATTTTAAATTATTTATAATTTATTTTCGCTAGTATACTTTAAGATACTAATATATTTTTATTAAAATAAAATAGTTAAACTTTTTAAAAAGATATTTTTGATATAGAAATTATTAAAATAGAATATTTTTTGAATAAATTTGATGTTTTACGATTTATATTACACTGTACAAGAGATTGAGGTGAAGTTGTGGGATGCAGCCAGATTGAAGATAAGACTCCAAAACGCTTTTGACGCCGCCGACTTTCCTTACTGCTTCACTTTTTTATTTTAAAAATATTGTGTCTTTTTAACGTTTTATTTTACATTCTTAGTTCCTTGTGTCGATCGTGACCTTTGTGAGACTGCCTCTTGTTTTCTTCCATATTTTTTTTTATATTTGTTTATTTATAGTTTAGGTTTCATGATGGACCAATGAGTCCGATAAAAACATTTCAAAATCATTTCATATAATCAGAAACTTAAAATAAAAAAATTAAATTTCATGTGGTTTTTAATACAGAGATTAATAAGCATTATTTTTATTTGCAAAAAAAATTTCCATTTATGGTATATTTTGTTGGGCAACAACATATCATTAATATTAGATTACGATTGAAAAGTTTTAAATTTATTTTTTTTAGAATAAACTCACATTATAAACAATCATCTTTTACACAAAGACATATTTAATTTTACATTTGTAAATAGAAGACGACTATAACACATCAACATTTTCTTTGTTTTATTTTTTTTGCTTTATAAGATTTCTTAAGAACTATGTAAAGCAGTTTGCTAATTTCTCTTTTTAAGTTTAAAGTATTGTTAAAAAATATTTTTTTAAGAAGTTGTAGTAACCTCAGGTGAGGTGTCCAAACTTTAAGTGTAGTTCTTTATAAGAACAAATAAATAATACTTTATTATTTAATATTTTATTTTCATTAACTTTATAGGGCATCTTTGTGCCATGACTATCGTTGTTGTGCCTTTTGTCATACTAAGTTTTTTCGTATTTCATTTCTTATTTTTGTATAAATTCCTTCTTTTTAATTTTTAATTTATAACAAAATTTATTAAAATTTTTGGAGGGGAGATTTTTTAAAATGTGATATATACCACAGAAGTGTATTTAAAAGCTAGACCTATTAATAAATAAAATATTAAACAATAATTTCTTTTATTATCTAGTCTCCTGTATATAAAGTTTCCTTTGTAGTTTTTTTCCCAAAAAACCATTTGAGAAATACAGCTTCAAAACTTGAATATGGAATTGGATTTTGAACTATATGCTTCTCAAACATTTGTTCTTTTAAGTCTTTTTCTAAATATTTATCAGCGTAAGCTATAAACTCTTCTTTCAAAAACGGTGAAATAGCAATCGTACCATTGTCTGTATGCATTATTTGATCAATTTCATAAAGTTTTGTTATATCAAATTCCAAAAATTTCATAAATACATCAAACCCAGCAACTTTATCTATTTTGTTGCTTTGAAAAATTTTTACCAGAAAATTTATATCCTTTTCAATACTTGAAGGAATTCTGCTTTCATAATATTTCAAGATTTTATTATATTTAGTTTCATTTATTATTTTATTTTCATAACTTATTAAATAAAATTTTCTCACAATTCTTTGCGCAACTTTATTAATATCATCTTTGCCAATTTTCGTAGCAAAATAAAAAACTTTTAACATTAGCACGAAATTTTCTTTGGAGAGTTTGTTGCTCTCTAAAAGTATTTTGGATTCATATGTTTTGTAAGCGTCATTCGTATCAAGTTTGTCTATAATGGTGTCGTTAAGAGACAGGTTATTTAATGTAATAGAATTAGAATTCTTTTTGTTAACTATTAAATAAACTACAAAAACACCAGCTACCAAAATAACAACCATCGGTGCAAGTAATAATTTGTACTTTAACTTCCTCATTTGGGGTTAAAAATTTTGTAATTTAATATTTACTTATCCTTTTTTAAAGGATTACCGAAGAATTTTTAATTAAGATTTCTGATTAATTAAAGATTAATTTTTGATATTTACGCAAGCTTAAAAATGAAACGTAAATTGATTTTTGCCAAATTTACGTAACTTTAACATCTTTGTTGGATGCTACTTTTAGTATTGAGTATCTCATAAATCATGATCTTGAGGTGTTTGGCATGCTCACATTTAAAGTGTTGTTTTTAAATAATTTCGTTTTTTCTAATAATCGTAATTTAGTAACAAAAATCATTTATATAAAATTCTGTAATATTTGAAAAATTAAATTAAAGCTTAAAAACAAAATAAGATTTGTCGCAAAGCTAAAATATGATGCATATAAAAAACTTTTTAAGTGCGTAAGCAGAAAGTAGTGAGTTAAATTTTTTGTAATATTTGTTTAAATTATCAAAACCAAAGCTTTTTAATTAAAAATTTTTTAATCCCGTTCTCTCCAAATTTTTCAGATATTTATTGTAATTGTTTTGTTTGCGTCATAAACATCTTTATTTAAACCAATAATATTCAAGATTCTGTAACTTGTTAGTTTAAAAACGTTATTTCTGATGAAACATATTTTGGGAATAAATAACTGCTGTACCTAGATAATAATTGCAGTTGTTTAGAAATAAATGTAAATAGATTTGTTATAAAATTTCGTCATTAAAACAAATATTTTTATTTAATATAATTTTCTTAAGTATTTTTTTTATCAGTACGGAAGTCTTTAAATTGTAACGAGGACAATGGCATTAAATAGAAATGTTATAATCATTTAACTGGAACATGACAAACATTTGGCACTACATCTTTCTAAGATTGGAATGATTTTATTTTATGATAAAAAATTTATTTAACTTTTGGTATAAATGTTTAATTTAGAATATATTTCTTATAATTTAAACACTAAGAAATAGATGTAATGCATTTTAAGATAATTTAAAAAAACAAAGAAACCTTTAAGCTAGACATGATACAAATAAAAATTAAATAAAAACTTAGTTAAGAAATGCGAATACCAAAAAGTACACTGTCGATATCCTCCGGACATTTGTAATAGGAAAAAGAATAGTTTTTTATTGCAATATGTCTTTTTGATTTAGGTTAATTATCTTTGTATAACAAACCAAGGTACATTTTGTTCTTTAAAAAATACAGCAATTAAAATTATTAAAAATTTTATGAAACACACCTTTTTTATAAGACCCAGCATTTAATGTACATATCAAAACTGTTATTGTAATGACAAGTAAAAAGTAACAAACACTCTAAATACCTATAATAATGCTTTTAAATGGCGTGTTTTATAAACTTAAAAATAATAGTAATAATTTTTTTGCGTGTTTAATTAAATTGTTATTTGAATTTTAATTTTACATTAAAAATCTATGTGTATAAAAAAAGAGGGCGTTATCTAAAAACAGCACACCAAGCCTACGTTTAGTTTCATAACATATCTTTATTTAAGTGCATTAATTAATTAATTTCACGAAAATATGCATGAATTTGATAATTTTGTAGCAAAAATGTTACCATAAAAAATACGAGTAATTGAAAATCTTGCTTTACAATTATAACATAAAAAAAATAACATATAACATTGATAAAAAAACATGATAATAGCAGAAACTTATATTTTCTAAAGGCATATTTTCATGTATTTGCTTAAATATTTTTACTTAAGGCAACATGCTTTAATTATGTAAAAATTAGTATAAAACAGTAAAAATTCTTGCCAAAAAAAATGTGCAATTTTTTTTATTTTAAACAAAAGCTTTAAGCGCTGAATTAAAAAGTCAAGAGTTTGTTAATATTAATATAAGATCTTGATAAATTGTAGTAAAAAATTAAAAAATGTTTATAATCTAATATCTTATTCTTGTTGGATTTCAACAAAATTCCGATTTACATGATGCCTTACTTCAAAACTAATTTGCAAAAAAATATGTTAGATTTTTTCCTGAAAAAAAGCAATATATTTCAAAAACTAAAGAATTTTTAAAACGTATTTTTTAATTAATTTTTAACTGTAAATATGTTATAACAAGATTATTAAAAATAAAATCTTTACAAACAAAATCATTATTTTTTTCTTGTAGAATTTTAAAAAAACATTATTAACTTACTTTTCTGTTTTTGCAAAATCAATATTTAAATTGTAATAATTACTATTTTTCATGTATAAACAACTGCAATATGTCGTTTCATAAACATTTAAAGATAGAATTTATCTAAAATTTCGGCCAATCTTAAAAACATAATCATTAAAAATTCTGAAAGCAACAGCATGCATTTTCGAAAAAAAAAATTTACAATTAACTAGCGTAGTTGACAAATTCTTTATTTTAATTAATTAAAAAATTATAATGTACTCAAAGACAATTGTCATTAGGTCAAAGATTAATTTATTATTAAAAACTAAAAATACTGTATATCTAAAGAAGATACTTTGACAATTAAGATATTCCACTTCTTAATAAGCATTTTATACATATTCTGTGACAAAAAATAAATAAATTGTACAACGTTCACTGCCTTTTCATTTTATTAAAAGTACAAACTTTTTATGTCTCAATTTAACAATGTTTTTTGACACAAAACAGTATTTAATTAATATAATGCTATGGATGAATGTTTACATATTTAATTGTCTAAAATACGATAAAATATTGCAAAATAGTTATTAGTTGTTTCGTCTTACAGATAATTTTAGGAAATATCATTGCTTTACAGAAACCAAAAGCAATAATTAAATGTATTTTTACATAACATTGCTTAAAATCCTTAGTATTTAGTGATAACTAATTAATATGCATATTTTTAATTAGTTATAATAATTTATTTTTTGGCCTATAATAAGCTACGAATATGCAAGTTGTATTCTCCTTTTTACACGACAACTAAATAAGAAAGGAGTAACTTATATAAATTGGTTACTTAAATCCCTTCATGTGTAATCCTTGTTGTCTTATCGTAGGTTACAATACAAGATCTGATGTGATTGATACTCCCAATGGTTATTCAGAACTTCCCGAAAAAATCATATGTCCGTATTGCTCGACTATTACAAAGGCTGTATATCGTAGAGACGATTATATATTTACGATATGTTTTATACCTACATGTCCATGTTGCAGTAGTTCTCCTTATATATCATGTCAAAACTGTATGCGACATCTTCCAACGATTCGAGGCAATCCTTGTAGATCATGCCACGTTTCAAGACCATTTGAAGCTGAGTATTGTCCTAATTGTGGGACTAAATGTTATGGAGAAGTAAGAAATTTAAGGGTTAATTAAACCATTTTTATAAATTTAGTAAAATGAAGTTAATGTTTTTTAAAAACTCTATTTATTTTTTCATAATGTTTTGCTTACTAACAAGACTTTTCGTTTTTTCATTAAACTCAACGATCTTCAAAAGAAAATTTAAAAAGGTTCCTGTACTTTTGTCCAATTGTAAAATCTTTTTAATGCACCACATCCTGTGCAATACTTTAAATGTTTAGTTTTTATAATACATTTATCACATACAATATCATGAATTAATATCTTATTCTTGCATTTATAACATGCTAAATATGGACTGCTAGTATATAAAATCAATTGTTCGGTACAAAAATCCATATTATATGTGTCTACAATAAATGCGGGAATAGACATTGCTTTACAATAATTACATAAAATTCTACTTGGTAATCTTATTATTTTCTGTGGAATGTATACGTATCTTTTAGAATATGATATGCCAAAAAGATGTAGACATAAAAACATAAAGATAAAGATAAAACTTATTTATTTTGTTTCAAGTATGACATTGTAAACAAAATCTTTATATTTTGCAATAAGTAAAATTAAAAATATTTATTCTATTTTCTTATTCAAATGGTGTTATTTAAATAAATTTTTTTTAATGTATTTAAATCAAAACAATTAAATATTAGAATGTTTTCAATTTGTAATTCACAAATAAATAAATGTAAAAATTATTGACAAGAAATTTAAAAAGCTACAAATCAGTAGAAAGCATTAAACATTTAATTTTTTTGAAAACAAAAAGAAGCTATATAAAAGAACAAAGATTATTTAGTTTATTTTTTGATTTAATAAAACATAAAACAATATAAAATGTCTTGTATGTATACAATGTTTTAGCACTTAGAAACGTAAAACTATTTAATAGCTTATTTTAATTTTTTAAATTAAGACAGGCTTATTACTATAATTAACAGCGTAACCATTCTTAGCTTAAATCTTTAATTTTAAAAATCGATAATAAAATTCATTATGTTTTTTTATATTTACAAAAAAATTTTTAATTTTTAAACTTAAGAAGTATTAACATTTTATTAAGTTGCATCTTTCAATTTTTTAATTATAGTTTCCAAAAAAGAACATTTTTTTTAATTTATCTACTTGACATTAGAAATATAAATATTTTTGTTAAGTTAAATTTTTTTTAAATTAAAAACTTAAATACTAAAAATTTTTGCCCCTATATTATGAATTATAGCTTTATAAAATTTTATTGTCCTAGTATAATAATATTTACATTCATTGTTGGTATAGGATCTAGTCTTAATAATCCTACTGATGATATTAAAGAAAATTCTTATAACAATCTAAAGAGGTCGAGCCCAAAACAATTATATGAACAGTATAAAAAGGAAGTCCTAGAGACTTTCTTAAACGTGGAATATTTTAAATTGGCAATGAAATTGGTGTACGTAATTACTAGTATATCCAAGAATGAATGGATTGAATCTTTCATTAAATACCATATTGAAGAAAACAATGTACCACGTTTAGTACAAGAATATAATGAAAAAAAAATTTTTAAAATGGTTACAGCTTTAAATAATTTTAAAAAGTGGGTATTTTGTGGTAATACACTTGTAAATGAAGATTTTAAAGATAGACTGGCTTGTATATTTAGATGTGATGTACAAAATGGTTCAGTTTTATTAACCAAAAAACATTTTAATATTTTTAACGACAATTTGTTTATTCTAGGCTTGATAAAAATTAAGATTGATCAACTTTTAAGTCAAAATGAAAGAAATCAAGCTTGTAGAGACTTTTCGAAATACGGTGATTCTATTACAGTATCTTTTTGGGCAACAATATTTACAAAGTTGATTTTAAATATTCTTTAATTAAAGTTAAATTTAATTTTTTGTTATTTTGTATCAAATTTAAAGCTACACAAATGCCTGCAAGACATTAAAACTGAAAAAATTTTTGTTAAATATTATTTTTAATTGACACATACAAAAAAATTATAAATGCGTGAGAAAAAATTATTTAAAAATTTAAGTTTTGAATCTTTGCACTGAATTTATACTTTTAAATTGCTTTTATATAAAAGGTTTTTAACTATAAAATCACTGCATTTCTACACATAATTGTACAATTTTTGAATACTCTCATACACGAATATACAATAAAGTATTTAAAAAATAGAACTTTTTTTCTAAATTTATCTTTTCGTTTTTATTCATGTATAACTAAGACTCAATGCATATGTTTTTAAATATACATTCACATGTGTTATTGTCACGACCCAATATTAATGACAAGAATCTTAATTAAAAAAGTTCTGTTAATTTTTCCTCGAAAAAATTGATATTTTTTATTAAAGAAAATATTTAATTTAAGGATGTGAATTTTGAAAAAAAATCAGAATATAATTAATACAGTTAAAAAACATTAATTTAAAATAAAATATTTAATAAGATCCTAATAGAACTCCATCTAAAACATGGGGACATCCCAGTTATCATCTTTTATTTTCAAGATATAATTGAAGTAACATAAGGAATGCGGTCAGTAGAGAGGGCGTTTTCGATCTCATTAAGTATACATGGGCATGTTTTTGAAGTTCCGTGAGATTTATAGTGAGAAGAATTATTATAAAAATGTTATTTTTTTACAATTTTATGGGATGCTTTTCAGGAACTATTTTCTCTTGATCTTCTAATTTATTAATTCATTGATTGTTTCCTTGTGTATACATGGTATTCAGGTAAAATTTTTTTTATATTTTATTTTATTGAAAAAATAAGATTAAGGAACAAATAAAATAAAAGAATAAACATGTGGTAATAAAATATTACTATAATAATCAAATATCTAGATCATTTTAATAAAAATAGATTTTAGGTGGAAATAAAAAATAGAATTTTTTTATGACTTGTATGGCCCCCCTCCTCTAACAACTAATTTATTTCTTTTTTATGTCTTGATACTAACTTTTAGCACATCTCCTTAGATATATTACTCCATTCTTCAACTACAACAACTTCTAATCCTTAAATATTTTTCTTTAGAACATACCATAAATTCTCAATTGAATTTAGATCGGGTGATTGAGATGTTTATTCAAAAACTTTATATTTTGTAATCTAAAAACTCCTTCGTAAGTTTTAATTGATGCTTTGAATCATTATCCTGTTGAAATAAAAAATTTTAAATTTAAACATACTGCATTTTTAAATTAAGCATTTTTTAGAATTGTAGTATATTTGAGACTACCCACTTTACCATTAATTATGTAAATATTTCCAACTTTTTTTTCCGAAAAACTTTTCTTAATTATGATTGAGCCATTACCATGTCTAAAAGTTGGTTTTAAATTTTTTACATCATACCACAAACCATCTTTTTGGTAGCAATAGATCATTCTATCTAATTGGAGATTAGTAATTTAGATTCATTACTCCATATAACAAATTTAAAGTAATGTTTTTTTCTGTAATACTATTCCGTTGCTAGTCTTATTCTATATTAAATATATTTTTTTGACAAAAATGGTCTACATGCTCTTCTCCTACCTTTATAATCCAAATCGACTAGTTTTTTACAAATAGTCCTAAAAATTTCCTTTTTTGACTTAAATTATTTTTTTCTTCTAGTTTAGTTGAAATTGTTAATAAATCTTCTTTTATTTTTTTGTCAAGAAACTCTAAATCATTATCATTAAATAAATGTTTTCTACCTCTTCTCTTAGTTCAAATAACTTTTCCTTTATTTACAAATTTAATTTTAAATACTAAACTTACTATTTTATATTAGTTTGTTAACTATTTAAAAATAAAATTAAATTAAGATTAATATAAGTTTGGAATGTTTTAACAAAACAACTCTTAACAACAAAGTATGATTATTTTTAGTTTTAAAAATATATCATTTATCTTTATATCAATTTTATTTTAATTTTTACATAGCAAATGACTAAAGAAGAATGATTTATTGTTGTCATGCATATGTGGGATGATGCGACTTTCTAAGTACGAAAGGTATATAGACTTGTTTTTAATAAAAGCTTTCATAGAAAATACTTTTATTTAAAGTTTATTTAAATTTTTTTATAATTGAAAAAAAGATCATATTGGATACTGAAAGAACAAATACCTTTTTGTAATTTAAGATTGTTTCATTGGCTGCCGTTGTTCAACTCTTGAGGGGCATGAAAGTTGTCTTAATTAGTGCCTTTATTGTATTAATTGTGCCTTTATTGTATTAATACACAACTTGTTAGATGAAAAATTTGAAGAAGAGTTTTGATTAACAAATGTCCTGTCAAACAATTAGTTTATAACAAGTTAATAGATAAAAATTAATAAAATCAATTCGATACAACTATAATTTTATTTGAACAAAGCAACAAGCAGTAAAAATAAATTTCTTTTATTATTTTACGACTTAATTTATGTTATATAGGAGTTATGTCTACAGAATAAGTGCCGTCCCTGTAAGATTTTCTAAAAAACTTTGAAATTCAAAGATGTCTTTTTAATGTAACTTTAGCTATATTTAATAAAGTTAGTTATCGTATTTGTTCATACTTCTCCTATTAATTTTTTATTTAAGAATTGTCTACAGAAATAATTGTGGAACATTATATCAAGTTACATTAGAGTCAAAATTATATATGTAAAAACCAAGGTCAGTACAAAATGTCTTTTTATAAATATAAATAGTATTTAATTTGTCAAATGTCTCATCTCGCTTTTATGAAAAATATCAGAAATTTTACTCTACCCTCCAACAACATTTAATTATTAAAAATAAATAAAAATCTTTAATAAATTTTTGTATAGATATAGATCTATAGTTTATTTTTATTTAATATTAAATGTGTAAATTTTTAAAAGCATGTTTTTAAGTATATTTAAAATAATTAATATCAATAAATTTTTATCCAATATAAAATCGCATTGAATACAAAATGTACTTAACCTAAGGATTTAAAAAAACGTAAACTGTGGTAAAATTTTTTTAATATTACTTATTTTAATATTTGTAGAGATATGTATTACTTGTTAAATATATATAGAAGTATTTTTTGTATATACGTAAAGGTTTTAGTGGGATTTGGAACGACAATATAAATTTACTTTAATTTTGTTGCACAAACATGTTTTTTAATTAAAATTACTAAAAAAGGTAATTTTTTTATTGAATTGTTAAAATTTACACAAAATTTAGATATTTTTAATTAAATGTAAAGCAATGATACTAACAAAGGAGGCATGATCAAAGAAATAAAAAGTTTAAAATAAATCCTAACGCCGTCTTTTTAAATAAATAAAAGTAAATTTATTATGTAATCTAATTTTTTTAATATTAAAGTATACTGTGGTTATGATATTTGAACCATTTTGCATTCAGATATCTTTTAATTTATTTCATAGTATATTTATCAATAATTTTTACCCACACTTATGATTTTAAATACAAAGATGTTTTCAAATATTAGTATCATACTTATTGTGTTTACTTATAGTTTAAAAGCTACTTTTCAAAACAAAATGTCTTGTACTACAGAAACCATTTGTCCAATTTCTGATTTGTTAGATTTAAAAGAGTTGCCAATGGAATACGAAAAAATTTTAAAAAATGCAATTAATTGTGAAAAAGATTTTTATATGGTTTTAGAGGCTGTGGACTTTATTACTAGCATTCCGTATCACGATTGGCTTATAATGTTTGCAAAATGGTGCTGTGACAAAAATGGAAAAGGAAACAAACTATTAGAAGCTGAAAGCAGAAATAATCGATTAAAAAAAATTAGCAAACAAATGGGAGAATTTCAAAAATATTTATTTGTAATTATTGAAGATTCGTATGATCCACGTAACATTATAAAAAGGAATTTATTTGATATAAAATTTAACGAAGATAGGATACGACTTACTGAAGCGCAATATACTTTATACAAAGAATTTAAAATTTTGATTAATTTTATCGAAGAGAAGTTTAAATCTGATAAAAGAGAATTGTTATTAAAAGCATTGGAGAAAAAAGTTTCTATCATTGGTCAAAACTCTAAGTTAAGAATTTTGGATTTGATAGCTATTAAATGTTTCGAAATGGCTGATTCAGAGTTAGTTAGTGGGAATAATAAAAAAAATTAATTTTTAGGTTATTTTGTTAAAAGTTGTTTTCTAATTGTTATTATTATGATCATGCTAATAACCAACCAACGGCTTGTTAAAAATTTTAACACCAATTTTAAACCGCAATAAAACTATTTAAGAAAAAATTTATAATATCATGACATTTCCTTCCAATCTCTTAGCCATTTTTTATAATTTTAATTTATTACTTATAACATTAATTTATTTTTACACTTTAGAAAATGAAAAAAACCATAATTTAATAAAACTTGTTTATTTGATCTGATATGTATTACGATTCTTTGGCTAATAAGTAAAAATTATTTTTGATTTGAAACAAAAAAATCCTTTACATGCTAACATAATATAATATGGACAGAAAGACTAATTAAGAACAAAAATTTGGAGCCACTAGCCAATTGAAGAATACATCCAAGTGATGATATTTTATAAGATTTTTAAAGTGCCTTATTAGAGCATCAAAAATGTGAAGAATTAAAATAACAGATAGGATTTGCTATCTGAAAAAACTAACATTTTTTTTATTTTAATAAAGATTTTTAAATTTAGTGATTAAAGTGAAAACATTTAAAATTTTGATAAAATAAGTACATTACCGTTATTTCCGACCATTAGAAAATTTTGTATTAACAAATTTGCGTTTTCTGTGTTAAAACGGTACAATGAATGATATACATTTTACTTCTTTGAAAAGTTAATTTTTCATATCTACATGCTAGATATTATCTGAAACAAAAAATCTAAATATTAAATTTCTGTTGCATAATCTAAAAAAGCTATATTTCCTTATTTTATTAAATAATAATAATGTATATCTATACAGCTATTTTTTGTAAAACCAATAACATTATTTTAAAGAAGTAAATTATGCGTAAAAATTGAATTTATGGAAAGTTTTGAAGATTTTATAAAAATTAATTTTAATGATTTTTTAAAAATTATTTTTTTAAATGTCTATAATTTAAAAGTTTTAAAGCTATGTTTTACAACTTTAAATAATTTTTAAAAAAAAAGATCACTCGAAATTTCGTGCTTTTTATTTTTTGATCAAAATGGTTGATAAATGTATGTAGTAACTGTTTACAATAGTTAATACTATCAATATTAGAGTTCTATTTAGTCGTTAATAACTAGCAATCATAATTCAATAAATTGAAAATAGATAATGCCAGAGAAGTAATAAAACTAAACCAAGAAAAAAGAAAAGTAAAAAGATTTTAATTTAAATCAGAAGAATCGAGAGGAAGATCTACCAATTCAGAATAAATTGCAAAAGCTATTATAATAAAAGAATACTTTTTTTTCTGATTATCTTCATATTCCTCTTTCATAGCTGCATCAAGTAAATCTTTGTCGGTTCTTGAACTAAATGTATCTTTCAAGTAGCTATACCAAAGCGCAACATCACCACACCTCTTCTTTTGACTATCATCGACAACCAATGTTTGTTTTTCACCAACTTTATCAAATTTAAACTTGTAAAAATAATCAGACTTTTTAATATAATCTTCCCTTTTTACCTTGTCAGTTTCCTTAAATAATTCCTTAATGATTTTTTCACCTTGTTGAACAACATTGTCAATCTTTTTTTCGAAACTAGAGGTCTGCGCTTTGGTAAGTTCTTCAGAAGAACCTTCCTTAAAACATTTATCAAGGCCACCAAGAAGTTTATTCTTATCAAGACTTGCAAACAAATTCAAGACGAATACAGAAAGTCTAAATTCCTCAATTGTAAGATGCAAATTAGATTTTCCTGACGCAGTATACACTGAAAACGCTTCTTTAAGATCCAACTGATCAATCTTAGTACTCTTCATCGTTAACTTACTACCACCATTAAATGGCCACGTTCCTGTAACCCATAAAGCACTCGTTACTCCACCAGCGACTAATGCTGTTCCAAATAAACCGTAAAATATTTTCTTGTTCGTTGACATTTTGGGGGTTAAAAAAAATTTAAATTTATACTAAAGAAATAATTAATCATTTAGAGAAAAAGGAATAAAAAATAATGATTAGGGGATGATTTACAATTACATAGACCACACATTTAATTAAAGGCTTTTAGTAGTACTTTACAACTGTCAAATATATTTAATAGAGTTGTTTAAAAATAAAATGATTTTGTAAGGGGGAGATCTTTTACTGACAAATAAGAAGTCTGAAATTTAACGAATTTGACATCTTAATTTAGATGTACGAAAAGAGAAATGAAAGATAAAATGTTTGACATATTTACTAATTTAATATTTATGATATTTAAGGAGTTATATTACAAATTTGGATTAGTGACTTATATTTTACACACTTTTCTCTTATTTGACATATTTCATTACTGTGCTTGTAACTACCTAAACTAGCAGAAACCCCTTTAAATTGATTCAGTACATAACATGATTTATGTTTATATTACCAGTTTGTGTTAAGATGCATTAGTTACTGTTTATAAAATAAATAGATTTAGTTGTAAAACAATTTTTTAATAATTATAAAATGTACATCTTTAATTTTTTAAATATTGTGTAAATTTAATATATCAATATTAATTAATTAGTTTGAGCATTCAAATACTGTAATTTTAATCATTGTGTACAATAGTTACAATCTTAATAAAATATTTATTATAAATTAAAGATAAATAAATATTTACATTATTCTTATTTTGATTACAGTATGTTGAATGTTACTCTTCACGTCAAATATTTTACAAACCATTTATGGGATAATTGACAGGCTTACATTTTATTTATATTTTTTAACAACAATATATATTTATTGTTTATTGTCAAAGCACTAAATAGTATTTTAAAATATTACTTGCTGAATTTTCAATTACACTTTACTAAATTGGGGATTAATTTATTATTGGCGTTTAAAAAAGACCCTTATTTTTATAAATGTGTATCTCTCACATTTATAAATACGTTTATTGCTTAAATAAATGCTAATCATATATGGTATGTATTATATCTTGTATGGGGCAACCAAGTATTGGTTATTATAAAAAAATAATTTATTTGTAGAGCAAATTAGCAATTATTTTTTTCCGATAAGGAAATTACTATTCTATCAAAACTTGGCAGGCTTAAAAACACCCATCGCTCTTCACTACCATCTACTTGTTCTTTTTAATGTAATAATTTAATTATTAAGCTACTTGGTGTGGCCATATTTGTAAAAATTTTCTAAAATACTTTTTACATAAATTTATTGAATTTTTTGTTTACAAGGGGTATTTTAGTACCTCTTTTAGCGCAATCAATCCTCGTCTCCATTGTAGTTTTTGTTTTATTTTGTGTGTGTAGAGGGTAATTTTTGTATTTATAGTTTTAAATGTTTGTTTACTAACATTAATTAATTTTAAAAAATAAACATATAAACAAATAATACAAAATTAAATCCTTGGTTGTGTGGGATTCCACACTGCTTTTTTACTAATTTTCTTTCAAAGCATGGCTTGTCTTTTAGAGTACTTGGAGACAAAATGCTATCTTTTTGATTTCCCAAAATAGTAATGTTTATATGTCTTCTATACCCCAAAGAGATGCTTTCTATTGTTTTTTTAAACACTATAGACTGGATGTATGTTTCAACGCGGTCTGTTATTTCTATTTTTCTTTTGTGTTATTCATAATATTTGGTTACAGCTTTACTTCAAATAAATGCATAAAGTATATTGCACGTTTTAAATTTATAAAAAATACATTTTATTAATCAAAATATCATACTTTTTAAGCTTTTTAGTTTTAACCTGTTCAAGTTTTTAATTAACAATATTTATAATCTTTTTTTTTCTCTTCACAACCAAGTCTAGTCTTCTATGCTTTACCTTTATATCAGTTTTTACAGGTAAGTCTATTTTTACATTTTTGTTAAAAATTATTTCTTGTACAGAATGAATACGAAAATTATATTTATTGCACATCATCAAGTCTGTACACTTCAATACTTCGTTATATCTCTTTGTGTCTTTACATTAAAATGCTAAATGATCTACGAATTTTTTTGTTTTACTACAATATGAATGTTTTTCTTGTAACGAAAAAATATTTTTTTGTCTTCTAATATACAAAATAATTCCTCTCTTTTGGCTATAATAAATAGTGCCATTTAGTCATTACATCTGTTATTTTTTAACATGTAATTAGATACTTTAAACTTATTAATTTAAAGTTATGAAAATTGTAACTGATATGACCGAGCAACTAAAACTTCGTAGTTTTAATTTTTACATTGACAGTTAACATGATTTGTAAAATTTCAAATCTTCAATCTTTAACTACAATAAGTATTAATACTAAAATATGACAGTAAACACTTATTATAATCAAATCTATATATTTTTTAAATTGTATAAGTATATTTTTTACAAGTTTTTTATTTTTATAAAAGCTATTTTTTTACATTTTATAAAGTATATTTTTTACAATAAAAGCTATTTTTAATAGTTAACATAAAAGCTAAGTATTACATTATAAATTTAATAAATATTTTATATTTCAAATAGAAACACGTATCTTAAGTAAATACAATATTTTATCAGAAAAAAAAATTCTTTTTTTTAATTTATAATTTTTTGTCAATTTTAAATTAAAAATGCTGCAATGATAATAGCATTTAGTATTAAAAGTAATTGCCCATTCATAGAAATCAATTATATAAAAAAGAATTAAACATTTAAGAGAATTTTAAAAATATACTTTATTTGTGTTACACGATAATATTATTATATACTTAAGCCAATACGCTTAACTCAGAAAACTTTAAAAGTTTAATATAGAAAATATTTTAAAAATACTATTTTTTATTATAATTAATCTAATACATTGATTTAAAATCAAATATTTATACTGATAAATGATTTATATTTGTACCAGCTTTTAAAAAAAAGAAATATTTTTTTAGCTAATAATTTATGAAACTAAATTAAAAATGCATAAATTTGATATATAAATTTTTTCAAATTTTATTGTATAGAAGTTTGTTGGTATTAAACAAACTTTTTATTTCATAAACAAATAAAATATTATGGGGTTTAATTACAAAAAAAATGGAAAACTTTATTGACGAAAAAAAATTGTTTACAAAGAATAAAACAATTAAACCTGCTTTTAAAGTACCTATTTACAATCAGACACCAAAGAGGGGAGATTTGGTCGATGAAATGAATTTGATAGGAAGTACATATCAAGAGAAAGGACATTTTAAGCGTAAAAAAGAAGAGAATTCTAAACATAAAAGACTTAGAGAAGATGATAAAATGAAAGACATTATGGCACAAATTGGGGAGACAATAGGAATAAAAAACAATTATAGAAGAGAACACACAAAAACACAAAATATATTTTATAAAGACATGAGTAAAATCAATATAAATAATAAATTAAAAAAAAATAATGAAATTAAAGAGGAAGATAGGTTAACAGATGAAATAGAATGCTACTTAATAGATCAGCATAATTTTAAAGAGGAAGTAAAAGAAAATATTTGCTTAAACTCGGAAATACATAGTAACATCTCTAGTAGATTATTAAAAAATAATGAGAATATATTATTTAGTGATAATGTAGAGGATAAGTATTATAAATCTAAGTATAATTCTCCGAACACTGGTAAATATGATAACAATAAGAGATTTATATCTGATATAAAACATAAAAACGTTACACAGAATAATCCAATACTTAATACACACTCTATAAAAAGAAAATTTAAGGAAGATAACGATCTTGATATTATCATGATGCAGGTTGGAGAAACAATTAAGAAATCAAAACAAGAATCTAAAAATAATAAGGTTGAATTTTGTTCTATTAAACCATTTAATGGTAAACCAGTAAAGAAGCCTGGGCCTAGAAGGAAGCCGGATTTAAGTAGCTTAGAGATACAAAAACTAGAGTATACATTTAAGATTAGAAAACTTAAAGTTATACAGTCTAATATAAGACTTGTAGCTAAGGAATTAAATTTATCGGCTGCTAGATGTTTAGAGTATTTTACTAACCAACAGAAAATACAAAGTTATATTTATGTCAAAAAAATGGAACAAAACATACAAGAAATAATAGAAATACGCAGAAACATATCAAACATTCTATGAAAGAATATCTGCAGATTATGTGTTATATTTAATAATTCTAAAAGCTTACAAAAAATAAAAAAAAATCTTATAAACTAAGTTTATTCAATAAATGCGCACACACCGAATATCACTTCAAAACAGTTAAACACTTCAACTCCTTTATTTTTTAGATATAGACATCTTGTTACCAATAACCTGTTAAGTTCATCATCACATAATCCTTTTGATTCTTCTAGTATACTCTGTATGACATCTTTATTATTTTTAATAAAAAGTAAAACATCATCTTCTAAATTTACTTCATTTACTTTCCCAGTTATAAACTCGAATAATTTCACGTTTTGAAAGTATTCATTGAACATATCTTTTACGAATATTTTATCATAAATTTCGTCAAATTTCAATTTCAAATCTTTTGCGCACTGCTTAGGGTTGCCATTTTTTTCCAATATCAAAAGGGGAATGGAGGTTTCACTAGTTGAAGAACTTGAGGAGGTTTCACTAGTTGAAGAACTTGGGGAGGTTTCACTAGTTGAAGAACTTGGGGAACTTCCCCCAACAAGTGTAGAGTTGCTTTCACTTTTGTCCAGCAAAGCATCACTTTTAAGAGATTCACCACAAGAATGACTTAAGTCTTTTTTATCACTGGGTGTAGAATCATTTTCATTTTTTTCTAATGAAACATTATCTTTAGATTTATCTTCTCCTTGTAAATCACTTAAATTATCTTCCTCTCGTACACTACTTAAACTAGCCTCATCTTGTGCATCGCTTAAATTAGCCTCACCATCAGGAGTTCCAAATTTTTCTGAAGATTCATCAGTGAGAGATGACCGGCTATCTGTTCTTAAATATAATTTATTCGGCCGTTTTTCACAACTAGCCACCGATAATGAAACTGAGGCTGCATTTTTTTCTTTTACTAACTTTTCTCCAGTCAAATTCAATGTACTATTTTCTACCATAATTTTACCATCAGGAGTTACAGACATTCGTTCATCTTCCGGAGAAACTTCTACCAATACGCGTTCTGGAGTGACCATCCCATGAACCAGTGCATCTTTCTCATCTCCAATTGCTACTTGTAAATAAGAAGATGATGTTACTTCACTTAAATTTATAGTTTCTGGTGAACTACTATTACTTGAAGGTAAATTTACCATTTGAAATCCATTAGAACTATTTTCAGAAGATGTCTTACTCGACATTGATGATCTTTTATAATTTACCACACCTTCTTTTAATACAACATTTTCTAATTGTTCTAAAGTAACCTTAGAAAGCAAATACAAAGAATGTAAATATAACTTGGCCTGTTTATCATCTATTTTATATTTCCCTACCATCATTTTAGCTGTACTATCAACATCTAAATTACCCAACTTTTTATCATCAAAAGACAGTTTAGAAATATTACCGGTATTTTGATTATCATCAAAAAAACCACTTAACCACAATCCACCAGTTATAATTGCAGCACCAACAAGCGTTGCGCCTAATATTTTCATAGCTCTTTTAGTTCCAGACATTAAGGGTAAAATACAAATTTACATTTAAATTAAAAATATTATTTAGAAAATAATTTTGAAGTGTGTTATATAAAATAATAATAAAATTTTAAATTTACAGTTTATAAAACATTGGCTAGTAAATTAATTATTTTATTTGCATCATTGAAACAAACAAAGTGTTTTTTAAATTTATAAAAAAGAATTCTAGCATAAAATGTTTAAATTTTAATTTGTTTAATTAAATTAAATTTACAAGAAATAAGAAATATTTAAGAATAGTTTTACAGAATCTAAGCTATTCTAAATTTGTAAAAGAAAATTCAAGATATTGTACAATTATAAAATGAATTTGAAATTTTAAAAAAGACACGTATTTAGTGAAATGATTTTATTTTAAAGTTTTAAATAAATTTATAATACATTCAGATACTTTAATAGTACACTGAATATTTTAAAAAGTATTAATAAGATTATTAAAGAGACACAGAAAATAAATTTAATGTGTACAATATGTATTTGGTATTTCTAAGATGTGCAGTATTGGTTGCTAAGAAAGGAACATCAAATAGTTGAAAAGTATTAGCAAACTATTAAATTTTAAAGATGCTTAGCAATTTTAATTACAAATGTATTGTAAAAATATACATTTAGTAAAATAGATAAAATGCATAATGTTTTAGATTTATAAAACCAAATTGCATAAAAAGTATTTTTTAGACAAATTTAAATAGAAAAGAATTTTAAATTAAATTATTCTTTGTTTTAAATTAAAATAAACTATATTACAAAAAGATTTAAGTATATAATTTAAGAATTAATATAAATTTATTAAAACATTACATGATAACATGAAATGGTATAATAGCTAAAATATACTCTAAATACAAAAAAAATAAATTTACTGGCCGAATTAAAGTGTACATTCAATACAATTCATAAGAAGATACCTGAGAGAATTTTAATAAAAAGTTAAGATGTAAAAGATTATAATTTAACAATTTTATTTCATACAGAACAAATACTAGCATAAACAGACAATTTAACAAATAATACATTAAAATCATAAGAAATTAATACACAACTAGAAAAAGATATTGTATTAACAAAATAAGAGATATATTTTTATATACAACTTAAATATAACATTACATTTCTTTGTTATTTCTTAATGTCTCATAATAAGACAGTGTACTGTGAAGTAATGACTCTGATTTACCAGTAGATTTTTTAAACAAAAGAGAATTTATAAGACTCATTATTTCTACTCTGTCAATTCCTAGACTTAGAATGTTTAAATGTTTATTATCTTCAGGAGTGTACCCAATGAGTGATATTAAAGATTTATCAGATAAATTATCAAAATATTTCTCTGCAAATGTGATAGCCTCATTTGACTTATTATTTAATATAAGATCTATAAATGAAAGTTTAGCTATCTTTACTAGTAATTCATCATCTACCTGTTCATTCTCTTTTAGATATACAAATGTATCATATGACCTGTTATCCTTTATATTATTTATTAGTGTTATTCTAAGAGACATTTCTTTTATAATATTTTTATCTAATTTACTGGTATATTTTACCAGTGTATTTACAGCACATGAATATTGTAAATGATCTTTTATTATTTTATTTATTAGACATTTAATTTCTTTATGTTTTTTAATAGACATTTATGGGTAAATAAACATTAATAGACAAATATTAATGGGTAGATAGTTAACAATGCATAGCCAAGGAGACCTACTAATGTGGAAGAGCAGGTTAGAAAAATTGTATTAGTAAGTTAAAAATAAAGACGTGGTAAAGTTTACATAACAATTTCTTATGGATAAATTAGTTTATTTAATAAGTGTAAATTAGTTTATTAAATGAATGTAAATTAGTTTATTTAATGAATGTAAATTAGTTTATTTAATGAATGTAAATTAGTTTATTAAATAAGTGTAAATTAGTTTGTAAACTATTAAAAGGTTTACATAACAATTTCCTATAGATAAATTAGTTTATTAAATAAGTGTAAATTGTTATGTAAACTGTTGTTCCATTTATTTAAGTTTTCAATTCCTAATTATCAAAAAAATTTATATAGTTTTAGTAGCCAATCAGATTCGTACTTTTGACAACCAGGTGACAGGAGAAATCTGATAACTACGACATAAACATTTTAATAGTTTACTTAAAAATTTACATTTACTATTCATGCAAATATAATTACTTTTATGATTTTAAAAATAGTTTTTTACAAGCGCATATTTAAAAATACGCAGCACAAGATAAATTCCCTAAATGCCTTATAGAAATATTTTTATTTTTTTACTTCTAAATTAGCATTCTTACCAAAAAAGCATAAATATGTACCCCACACAACATTCGCCACTTTATACTCTTCTATTTTATTATTTACTTTTATCTTAATAGTATTTTTAGTTATACAATCCACATATTTCTGATCTATAAATTTATATGCTTTATTCATGTATTTATCATACACATCTAAATATTCAGTAAAATTATTATCAAATGATAACTGTCCACTGCTAGAAACAAACATTAAAAGAAATTCTTTAACGTACTTTCTAATGTCATCAACACTATCTAAACACCTAGTCACTCCATCTTTAGAAGAACACATAAAAGTACTAATAGATTTAAAAAAGTTATCCATAGCATTCTTATCTCCCTTGGTAGTACTTAATTCTAAATCTTTAGTTCTTAAATTAGAAAATGTGCATATAGCAACTAGAATATTAAAATATTCATCTTTTTGTAAACTGCCTCCTTTTTTGTGCAACACTTCAGATGCTTTATTAAGATCTAGTGAAATGGCATAATCGTTATTTATTGTAACAAAACCTTCTTTGGAGTTATAGTAGCATAATAGAAATGCACTAATAGATAATGACAGAATTGATAACATTATAAGAACAGAATTCTTTTTTTCCATGGGGGTAAAATCATAAATTTTATAAATGAAAGTTATTTATTTAATTTATGTATTTACAAAAATATAAAATATTTATATTTGAGAAGAAATAAGTGCTTTACTACTGCTAGATACTTTAAGTTGGGTTTATCTAGGCGAAGGATTATGACATGTAATTTAAAAAGACAATTATTTTTGGTTTATTTTTATTTATTAATAACAATAAGAAAATAATAAGTTTATTGTCATTTAAGAAAAATTCTACGGCACCAAAACTAAAAATCAAATAATTAGTGTTTATTTATTAATAACAGTAAATATAACACGATGTATTATTTCCTTACTTCTGTTTAATTCGTTAATTTTACTTATTAAATCAATAAAATATTTTAACATTCACAATGTATTTTTTTGTTCTATAAAATATTAACACTATTTTATTATTAAAGTTTTTTATGTTTGTAAAATAAGTTTATCATTCGTTCATTTTTTAAACGTTTCAACTTTCAGTAAAAAATTTAATTTTTTTAGCCCCCAAATGGCCATCCAACCACCAGGAAGTAATACAAAAGCAAACAAAAAGGGCGCAAAAAAGAATCTAAAAATAGATACATTTTCTAAAAAAGAATGGTATAATCTTAAGGCTCCCGCTATATTTCCTAACAATGTCTGTGGTAAGACTATGGTTACTAAAAGCAGTAATAAACAAAATTTGGCTCTTCTTTTAATAGGCAGGAAATTTGACATCAATCAAGCGGATCTTACTGGTAATTTAGAAGAGCATGCAAGAAAGTTCTCTTTTAGAGTTAATGAAGTGCGCGGTAAAGATTGTATTGGTGTTTTTGATGGTATGCACATGACTAGTGATAAAGTTAAGGGAATAATTCGTAAGTGGCACACTCTTATTGAGGCAGAAAAAGATATTGTAGCCAAAGATGGTACTATTTTAAGGGTGTTTGTTAACGCTGTTACTAAGAAAACACCCACTTGTACTTCTAAAAGGGTTTATTGTAAAACCAGTGAAGAAAAGAAAATAAGAAAAGTTATGTTTGATGTTATTGAAGAAGAGCTAAAAGGCGAGGATTTAAATAAAATTATGAAGAAATTGGCGGCAGAAGTTATCGGTAAAAGTGTTGAGAAAAAAGGCAGTCTTATTTATCCATTGCAGAATTGTTGCGTAATAAAAGTTAAAACGGTTAAAAGAGGTAAAGATACCAGTAATGCTATGGAAATAGAAGCTAATTAAAAATAATTTATTCTAATTGTTGTTTATTGTATTGGTACTTTTGTTATCAAATTGTTTTCTTTAGTTTCTATGTATAATTTTTTTACATTCTAAATTTTAATATTCACATACATTGTATTGGTACTTTTGTTATCAAATTGTTTACTTTAGTTTCTATGTATAATTTTTTTGTCTTCTAAATTTTTACACCCACAAATGATATCTCAAAATTTCAAAATTATTCCAATTTTTAATAGATCTGTCCCTTATATCTACAACAATACTTTATACACACTTTATAATGACACACTATACTCTACTAATCTAGAATCTTTTGTAGTTTCTGCTATTTGTACTGATACTATTACGAATTTCTATTTATACAATAATACAATCGTATATTACAATACAGATATTTTTTTGTACAATATTTCGACGAGCGTAGTCGAAAAATATAGTACACTTAAAAATGCTGGTATAAAAGACGTTATTAAATTGAATAACGATTTAATAATATTTTACGATAATTGTGAAATCTACAAAAATAATGAAATTATTTTTAGTGGTGAATGTAAGAGTTATGTGATGGATGATACATTTTTATATGTATCAGATAGTAATAGTGTCACCAAGGTAGATATAAACACTTACAGTAAAACACTTGTATTTAATGGAAAAGATATTATTGATGTGAAAATAATTGATAAAAACCTGTATATTTTTACTAAAAATGCGCTTTTTTATCCTGGCGGGATGCTTAATATTGATGTAGATACAGTTCAAGTTACTACATCACACATATACATTCAATACAAAGGAGAAACATATAAGTATAATAAAGATTTACAGCTTGTAGAAAAATATAATTATCTAATTTATGCCAGTGGCGATTTATTATACGACGAAATGTTTAATATTTCTGTTAACGGTAAAAATTTAGTAGGAAATTTTGATGATATATTAGATGTACAAGAAATTAATAATATGATTGTATTTACTTCTAGTAATAAGCTTATTTATTGTTTATTAAATGAAATTAATACTAAAGATTTAATAAATGAAAGCACTGGTGAAAATTCTGTTCATGTTAAATTATTGTACGCTTGTATTGGTACACAGATAATACATCACACAGACACTATATTAAGTATATCATACGATAAGAATTTATTAATTACTACATCTAGAGATCAGACATGTGCTGTATATTATATTACTACTGACATAAAATATATTAAAAATTTTAGGACTGGTGTAATGAATACGAGTTATCTTATTGATAACACTTGTGTGCTTGGTGGGGAAGATGGTCTTTTGTGCTATATTTCTGATGTAGATAGTGAGAGTATAATATTCAAAAAAATATGTGATAAAGATATTAACAGTGTATGTGTTAACAAAGGTCTTATTTTTGTAGGATGTGCTGATAAAACGTGTAAAATATTAGATTTTAATCTGAACGCCGTAAAAAATATTGCCGATCATAAAAAAAACGTTATGAGTGTTCACGCCAGTTCGACGTATTTTTGTACTGCCAGTGCAGATAAAACGATAAGAGTTTATAAATACAATTACGAGTGTATAAGTGTTTTATCGGGACATGATACAGGAATATTGTCAGTTAAATTGTTCAATAAAGATAAAAAACTTATTAGTAGTGCGGTGGGAGGACTTATTAAAATTTGGGATGCTAAAAAAGGAGTGTGTACTGATAATATAATTGTTTCTAGTGATATTTGGTCTATTGATGTTAAGGCGGAAATAGACGACCTTTCTACTTTGGATCTTAACAATTTGTTAATGGGTGTTGGTAATAATGTTGTTTCTTACAAATACTACAAAGATAGAACAAAGAAGAACAATACAGTACATATTAAAAACAGAGAATTTCATAAAGTCATTACAAATAACATTAATTTAATATATTTTCTTCTTAAAGAATCATCTGATAAAAGTTTACTGTTTGACAAATACAAAAATAAACTACTAGATGTTATTGTAGAGTGTGGGAGATTTAAAGATGTAGAATTTATTTTAAAAATAATAGATTTTTGTGTAAGTAAAAAAATATTTAATAAGGAGATTATTACTGTACTGCGGAAGTATTTACATTTAAGTGATGAGCTTTACACCGATCTTATAGCTGCAGAAATTTATTTTAAGTAAATTTATTTTTTAATTTATTTTACTTGTTTTTATTTATTTAAATTGCTTTTTGAAAATTTTATTTATTCAAATTTTTAATTATCTTATTTTTATTTACAGGGTTTATTTTTGAAAATTTTTACTTTTTGAAATTTTTTATTTTAAATGATTTTTTGAATTAACAACATTATTTCTCCCCCGGTGAAAATGCGGTTGTGTATGGATTAAAAATAACTTTCCTGTAGTCCGATTTTTCAATTGTAAAAATGTTTCACAAATAAAATTTTTAATTATAATTTAATTAATCTATTTATTTAACTATAAAAATCTATTTATTATTTTTTTAAATATTGTTACACATTAATTTGGAAGATATTCTGGATTTAATATCTTGTAATTCATTAGTGCCAGGATAAAAAATCCACTGAATAATAAAATACATATAAGTGGTACAATTCTTAGTCCTTTATTATAAACTATAATTAAATATGGAAACATAGAATATAAAGGTAGTCCGAAAAAAATAATCATTGTAGATTTCCATAAAAATAAACCGATATCACCTAGTACTGATAAAAAAATTAATAAAAAAACTAATATTGAAAATAATACTGTTCCAAAAATATTGTTATGGTTAAAAAGTGTACTAAAAATATTAACTATAGAATTATTTAAAATATTAACATTAAGAAGAAAACCAAATGATGCATAAATACTTAGAATAACGAAATACAAAGAAGAATTATAAGATGTTAAAACGGACAATACTTCATCTAATTTCATTTGCCACAGCCAATTAGAAAAATACATAAAAGATAAGAAAAATAGAGAAAGAATACACACACAAACTGAGGCAACAATAAAAAGACTAGAAGATGAATTATTAAAAACTGAGACAGCACATGATGTCATCTCAAACGAAAACGAAATTACAGAAAATACAAGAAATATAGTGGTAGTCCATGGTGTATTGTCCTGTGTACGTGCATTATCTAAATTACCGCCGCCGTTTACCGCTAAAAATCCTATAAAAATAAAACTACACAAAATTAATGAAAAATCAACTATAGTACTTAAAACATAAAAACCTCTATAAAAAGCATAAAATAAGGATAAAACGATCGCAATACAGAACATAATTACATACCGCAAAACATTAGAATCAATATTGTTTAAATTTACGTCAAACGAACTGTTAAAAACACCAAGTAGCATATCTACAAAAAATAGACAAGTTAAAAATTTTAAAATTATTAAAAAAATGTCAATTATAACCGAAAAAATCCCGCTGTCACTATCTATTGATCCGTAAGAATCACTGTGTGATGCTTTTTTGTCTTTTAAAATATTGCTTATATACCAGTAAGACAGGAGGTTATGAATAGAAAAACAAAAAACACCTGCTATTAAATGCCATATAAAAATTGTACGAATTATATGAGAAAACGAAAAAACCGACACTATTATTGGAGGAGAAGCAATAATTTTTGCTACACTACCTATAAACCCACTCTTTTTTCTTTTTATCTTTTGTCTTTTATCTTTAAAACCATACGTAAGATCTCCCTCTGCACGTTCTGCAGCATCATCAGCCTTTTGTTTTTCTTCTTCTGCACGCTTTGCAGTGTCATCGGCCTTTTGTTTTTCTTCTTCTGCACGCTTTGCAGAGTCATCAGCCTTTTGTTTTTCTTCTTCTGCACGCTTTGATGTGTCATCGGCCTTTCGTTTCTCTTCTTCCCTTTTTCTGGCTTCATCATCCGCATTTCGTTTTTCTTCTTCTCTTTTTTTAGCTTCTTCATCCGCATTTCGTTTCTCTTCTTCTCTTTTTTTAGCTTCTTCATCCGCTTTACGTTTTTCTTCTTCTCTTTTTTTAGCTTCTTCATCCGCTTTACGTTTTTCTTCTTCTCTTTTTTTAGCTTCTTCATCTGCCTTTCGTTTCTCTTCTTCCCTTTTTCTGGCTTCTTCATCTGCCTTTCGTTTCTCTTCTTCTCTTTTTCTGGCTTCTTCATCCGCCTTTCGTTTTTCTTCTTCTCTTTTTCTGGCTTCTTCATCTGCCTTTCGTTTCTCTTCTTCCTTCTTTTTAGCTTCTTCATCCGCCTTTCTTTTCTCTTCTTCCCTTTTTCTGGCTTCTTCATCTGCCTTTCGTTTCTCTTCTTCCTTCTTTTTAGCTTCTTCATCCGCTTTACGTTTTTCTTCTTCCCTTTTTTTAGCTTCTTCATCCGCTTTACGTTTTTCTTCTTTTTTTCTTAATATATCTTCCTCGTCACTAGATTTCTCCGTTTTTTTGTTTTTCTCATCTTCCGTAGATTTATCTTCATTCCAAAAATACATTTGTAATTTTTTGTCTTTTTTTTTAATAGCAGTTTAAAACACTTATTTACTTTTTCTAACTGTGTATCATTTCATTTTTTTTTATTTTTTAAACCCCATGAAAAATTTTGTTATTGGTTCAGGAGTTATTTCATTCAAGTATAAACATGGTGTTATAACATGTACAGATACACAGGCTTCTTATGGTAATCTATGTAAGTTTAATAATGTTAGCCGTATTTTTAAGCTATCTGATACTACACTTATGTCTCTATCAGGAGAGTTAAGTGACATACAGTATTTAGTTTCAACCATTAAAAAGGAGAGTGAAACAGATCCTGTAAAAATGTCTACAAAAGGATATTCTAATCTAGTTCAAAGTATATTATACAATAAAAGAAGTAAAGTTGAACCACTAAACGTTTCAGTTAGTGTAGTGGGTGTAGATAAGGAGCCATATGTGTCTTGTATTAATCATCTTGGCAATTTTTATACAGATGATATTGTTTGTACTGGGTTAGCAAATATGATAGCTCTTCCATTTTTGCGATCTCATAATGTTACTGAGTTGGAACGCGATAAAGCAGTTGATTTAATGGAGGAAACCATGGCTCTTATGTCTTACAGAAGTGCAAGAAGTTGCAATAGAATACAGATAGCAATAGCAGAACAAAATTTTATAAGTCTCCTTGAGCCACATGTTGCTAAAACAAATTGGAGAATGGGACATAATGAAAATGAACATATTTTATAATAAATTTGTTAAACATTTATGTAATTTAAATTTATGCTATTTATTTTTTTATTTATGCTTTTTTTTTAATTTAAGATAAGCTTTAATAATAAACAAACTACTTTTTTTGATACTTATATTAAAATTTAAAATAAATAAAATTAATGCTACTTATATTAAAATGAGCTTATTTGCAAATATATAAAATTATACCGCTATTTTAACAAATTAAATTAATTTATTCAACTATTATTTCCATTTCTTTACCATTATTTTTTTTTGGTCTTCCAGGCCCTTTCTTCAAAATAAATTTATCAGATGACATTTTAATATTAATATTCATTACCGGTAATATTTCATCTAATTTATTATATTGTTCTTTAGAATATACACTACTAACATATAAAAAGGGGTCAAGCCTTTCTTCCCTAATACATTTACAAGCATGTACACAGGGAATAAGAAGATCTTGGTACATTCCACATTCACAAATACCATTTTCTAGATCTACTTTACATTCTTCCTTAAGAATACTACTCTCATTTCTTTCAATTCTACTTACTACATTGTAACCAAATAAACTTTTCGGGTCATGTCTTACAAACTTTTTTTTTAATTTTAAATTATCGTTACTTAATTTGATTATTGCATTAATACACTCGTAAAACGAAAGAGAAAACACGCCGTAATTTATGTAATCTACATCACATTCAGGTAAATTATTTATGTTTAGTAATTTTATATTAGATTTAGATTTTATAAATCTTATTTCATCAAGATGTAACATTTGTGACATAAATTGCGATGTAATAGGTTTTTGTTTTATTTGTAAATTATTGTTATTTTCTTTATCTTCTAAATTATCATTAGTATTTTTACAATTTATTCCATTACAAATATTCCAGTATGTTTCTATATCCCCTTTATTATTTATATTAGAATATAAATATTTACAAATATCCCTTGTTTTTACAAAATAGTTAATTTTTAAATCTTCTAATATTTTTATAAGCAATGGATCATATTCAATAATATAATCTGAATGATTAGTGTTATATAAAAAGTATTTTATAGCTTCTTCATCACTGTTATTATCTGATACTACACAAGAATAAATTACTGGTTCATCAATCGGGTCATATAAAACACCAAATATTACTATACCTTCTTTTCTTTTATGATATTTTATTTCTACTAAAGGATATAAAATGTCTATGTAATTCTTAATTTTGTAGAATAACATATTACTACAATAACATACATCTAATTTATCAAAGTTAATATTTGATAATTCTGTACAAAATTCTTCTGTTATTGAATTAGTCATATCATTAGATTTATTATCAGAAGATAACTTCCTGTAAAAAGATAATTTAATATCCTCCGTATTTTTACTTTTTAGTAAATTATACACAGAAGAATATCCTACACGTATCCCTCTGTGGTACAAAATAGAAACAATCTCTCCTACTCTAATAGAAGAATAATCCGTTATATTATTAAATATTTCATTTCTAAGAAATTCGTCTGTATTTGCGAATTCGTTATTCGCTATCGGACATTTGTGTTTTAAATTCATTCTTTTTATAGAAAAACAGTTATCTTTCTTTTTAAAGCAAGTGACTATAGAAGCATCACAATTGAATTCTTGTTTCCCTTTACATACAAAAGAGAGTGTACGAGGTGTCTCTGTAATATTAAATTTAAAATGCGTTTCTGATGCATAGTCAGTTATGTGCTGTATAAGATCTTCTTTGGTTTTAAAAGTGTCAGTGAGATTTAATTCCATGAGGGGTAAAAATAAATAACTAAATATTAGGAGAGAAAAAGGGAAAATATTTCTTATGATTTTTACTGTTCTTGATTTAAATTTGGTGAAAAGATCATAAAAAAATAAATTAATGTATTTATGGTTATTTATTATAGTGTTAAGAGACTTATTAAAACATTTCAATTCTGATTAAATATTTTATAGTGTACTGTTAATAAACGTTAAATTCCAAATATTTGACAGTTCTTTTGTAGAAGTTAACTTTTAACTATCACTCCACTATAAATAATAATCACCCTAAAAAAGATTTTAAAATGAGAAAAAATTGATTTCTGAGTACGAATAGAAACAATCTTTGCTTTTGCGAACTAGCATTTAAAATGATTATTTTTGATAAACAGATAAACGGTTGGTTCTGACGTATAAAAAAATATATAATTTAGCATATTTAAAAAAAATTGGTAGAGATAATCATCAATATATATAAAAAGTTTGAATTTGAACATTTTTTAATTTTTAAACCCTTCTTTTTAAAAAATTTGTAAAATTCTTATTATTGTTAAAATAAAAGTAGCATAAGTGTAGGGTTTATTTTTCTAAACACAGAACGGTGTTTTGTCCATTTTTCTTTGCTTTTTTATAATTAAATTTTTTAAATTGTATACAGGGTGTTTATGGCAAGTTTTAATTTATAATAAAAAGAGCCATTTGTTATTGAAATAATTAGTACATACATAAAGGTGCATTAAATTCATTAAAAAGAAAGAAAACACATTTTATTTGTAGTCCGTTTTAAACGGGACAGCATAAGCTAGTATTATATAAAAAATTGAAGTTACGTATTTCGTCAAATTAAAATTATTTTTTGCTTGTAAATAAAACGATATTAATTTATTTTTGTGTAAATAGCTATGCTAATACTATGTTTGAGAAGAAAATAAAATATTTTGGCATAAAATTTATATTTTTAATATAAAATATGAAAAAATAAGGCGACTTGCACACATCTTCTGTTTAGTTATTTAAAATTAATTATTCTCACATTTATCAGCAAATGATGATGAATTTTTTTAATATTTACAAGAATTTAAATATAAGCAGGATATGTGATACCTGTATCAAAACATTAATTTTAATTTATATAATTGGTTTTTTTAATAGATTAGAAAATTAAATTAAATAAATAAAAAATAAAAATATTTCTAATTTTCAAAGTAAACTTAAAATAAATAATATATATAGTTGTATTGATTTTCCACAAGTTTTATTAAATTTTTTTCAATATACCCCTATAAAATGAATTTTATTTGTTTTTTATTGGTTTTTAAAAAAGTA